AGATCTCTAATATTTTTCATTTCTGTATCATTTAAACTTCATTTGAGTAAATCACTAAATATTTCTATTTTTTGCTTTTTTACTTCTGATTTTTATATATACACTACATATGTCTTAAAGTTACAGTGCTTTAGAATTGTTTACAGCTAATGCTGACCTTGTATTTTAAATTCCAACACTATGCATTACTACCTCCTCCAGTGGTTAGTATGAAATGCCAGCTGACTGTATGTGATTATTTTTGTGTCTTTTTTAAAAATACCATTTGTAATGTCAGTGAACCCAATTCTTTAAAGTCTTAATAGCTCTAAATCTTAGCTGTCTTGAAAGTGATTGGGGTTTAATTCCACTACTAGTGGTTCATACATCATCTTATCTTTAATAAATCTCTGACAAGCATCCAAGGGTAGATAAAATCAAATTTCTCTTCAGCACAGTAATCCTAAAGAATACAAATCTTTAATATTTATGTAGTTAGTAACTACTGATATGAATCTCCAGCATCTTTCTTGTTGTAAAAATGTTTAAAATGATATCTTTCACTGAATTCTATTTTTGCATAGCTATATTTTATATAGCTATGTATTCTTCACAGTGAGTATCAACTGTAGTAATTGGTTGTTAAGTCTTTAGAGTAATTTCGGATTACTACACTTGTGATTTGAGAGAAATTATTTAAGTCATTTCTCAAGATGTGGGAATTTGAATCGTAAACCTGCACCATCTCTGTGAAATCTTATGATGAAATACAGCCTTTTTTAATTCCTATTCCTTTAGTTATCACTGTTTTATTTAACACTTTGCATGAATTAACTTGGTTGGAGTATGGTGCTAACGAGACTGAGGACAAGAGCATGATGCCTAGAAGTTCGCTAACTTTATGCATGCACAAAATGATTTCGTGACTACAGATTACACCTTCTCCCAGGTATCCATCTCTTAAATTTAACTGATTACAGGAAAGATGGTATGTATGGTTTATCATAAATCCTTATCCTCAAATGGAAGAAAAATGATTGTTACATTGTTACTGTAGTCTTCTGATATTTACGATAATATATACAGAATAAGATATCTGAACTACTGTATAATTTTTAATTTTACAGTATTAATATGGGTCATATCATTGGCTAAATAGTATCTGTAAAAGTCAAATTTCAGTAAACCAAACATCAGTGAAAAGCACAAATAAAAATGAAACAAAGTAAGAAATATTATCCTTTAAACACTGAGTTCTTTTGCCTAAATTTAGGTTTGTTTATTTTGTTTGTTTTGTTTTTTGGTACCGGGGATTGAACTCGGGTCCTTGCACTTGCACAGCAGGCAGAGAAACCACTGAGCTAAATCCCCGGCCCAAATTTAGGTTTGTTGAAGCCAAGTAAGATAATACTTCATTTGATATACTCATCTATATAAGGAAGCAGTCTTTACCTCACAAAGATTATTCAGGAGATTATTTACAAAGATTATTCACTCCGAATTTCTTTTCTAGGCCTTTGCAGTTTTCCTTAGTACCTACCTCTCTCAGTTATGGAATTGTGATTAGTATTAGGTGATTTTAAGATTCTTGGAAAAAAAGATGTAAAAGTATTGTTAAATATTTCTGTTGCTATCAAGCTCTTCTTGTGCTACTGCATTTTAATTAGAGCAGTCTTGATATCTAGAAAAAGCCAAAACAAGTGTTTACAAAGTGTTTGGGCTTTTGTATTGACCTAGTTTGGGACAATTGCTATTTGTAGTTCATTTGTTTCATGCTGCTAAGTAGTATACAAAACTACTCAAGGTAGCCTTTTTAGCTTTTTTTTTGGTACCGAGGATTGAACTTGGGACCTTGTGCTTGCGAGGCAGGCACCGGAACCACTGAGCTAAATCTCTGTCCCCTTTTTAGGTTTTTTACCTTAGGTTTTCTTTGCTAACTTTGCAAGTATAGGGACAGAGAGTTTATTGAGATAATAGAAGGTTATAATCAAGTAATTTGCATCTACTAGGGATAACGAGTAGATTTTGTATAATGATTAAGATCAGAACAAGGGTTAAAAGTTGGGAAGCAAGTGTTATCAGATGGCTTTTTAAATTAACTTTTGACAATAACCTCAAAGATAGTTGGCACTAATTATTTACATGAATCCTGAGATGTGAAAATTTGGATATAGGTATCTGTATTCATTTTGGGAAGTCATAGTATTAAACTCTAAGGGTTACCAAGGAATTACATCCCAGTGCCTCCAGGCATACTTGGTACATGCCATTTGCATAGATTTAATGCTCTGTTTCTGGCCTTTGAAACAGTTGTTTTCTCACTTAAATCATTTCTGTATTTTTCAGTGTTTATACAAGCAATGGGTAATTAATTGGAGTGATAGTTGTTAGCTATTGGATACTGGTAATAGAAATCATTTAAGAGTAGCTAAGTTAGTCAAGGAGTCTGAAAAAGCAAGACTATTTCATTTTATTTCCACTTATCTTCCTATTTAAGAGGGAGATTATGATATCAGTTGCCTTTGACAGTTTAAAAAAAATCACAAATAGCTAGCACCTGGAGTGACCTGTTGGCTACACTGCTTCTTCTCTTTCATCTTATTTTCTGATGACCTGAGATAGAAACAATATTGCTATTGGTAGGTATTTACTCCTATATTCTTTCTCCCTTAATTTCTAACCTCAAAAATTGTCAAACCCTTTGGAACACACTGTTCTTCCTTTATAACTCTGTAACAAGAGTATAGAAAAGCTTATTCCTAAACACTGTATATTTCTAATTTGTAATATAGCTTTATGAATAATAGGACCAACTATAACAATAAAAGTAAATACAACATATTATGTATCTACTATCCTGAGTACATTTTCCAATGCTGTACGTAACATAATATTTGAATACTATTGTCTATAATTATAATTTTCTCTGGATCAAATTATTGATTTAACAGTATCCTCTAAAGTCAAAGTTCAATAAAAATTAAGTACAACTACAAATAAAATAGTATATACCACGGTATTTTTCTTTACAGACTGTTAAATAGTTACAAAACAAAAAGATAGTTGCTATTTATCAGTAATTCCATACAAGAACAACCCCACAGCTGTTAATAGATTTTTATTAGCAAAACTTATAATATATTATTACTTTATTATACAGAATTAAGAAGTTTGCTATTGGTGTTTGTTTTTGCAGTGCCATGGCTCAAACCCAGGGCCTAGGGCATACTAGGCAAATATTCTACCACTGTGTTATACCCCAACTGCCTAAGAAGTGTTCACATGGAAATGCTAGGAGTCCAGGTAAAGATTCAGCCCCCAAATACCCTGGAACTGGTGTTGATTCTTAAACTTTATAAAGTATTTTTCATTTTCATTCAGATGTCAGACAAGTTTATTTTTATTATTATTATTATTTTAATATCTTAGATCTGGCCAGTACTGTTGTGACACTGGATTTCAACAAAAGCTCTAGAAAGAGATGATCCAAAGTATTTTTTAGGGAAAGAAAGAGTTACCATGTGAGTATTGTAATACTGCGCTGAGTCAGCAGATTCACCTTCTGTAGTTACTTTGCATCGATTTATCAACCAACCCTACAACATGGAGCCTGGATTAGGGTGTTAAACTCCACCTTCCAAGGGCTGGGGATGTAGCTCAGTGGTGCTGCACCTGCCTGGCAAGCACAAGGTCCTGAGTTTGATCCCCCGTACCAAGAAAACACAACTACCTTCCAAGACTCTTGAGTAAGACCATTTATTTCTTTTCTGCTTCCTCTTTTTTTTCTTTTTTAAAGAAAAACACTTCATTAGCCCCCTGGATAAAATTAAGTAGGTGAATGGTGATGTGTCTGACCTCTCTTATCCTGCAGGACACTCACTTGTCCCTCCGTACAGCTGCAGCCTAGCTTCAGTGACAGCAGGACACAGCAGGGCTGATGTCTCTCAGCCAAATTCCAGAGCTCATGGTGGGGGGGTGGGTTGAGAGATGCCTAACCTTTCCACTTTATAGTCCACATTCTTTCTTCCCTACTTAGACTAGGTAATAAGAAACCAACAGCCAGGTATGCCAGTGCATGCCAGCCCTTAAGAGGCTGAGACTGGAGGATCACCAGGAGTTCAAGGCTAGCCTGAACTATAGTGTGAGACCTTGTCTCAAAAAACAACAAAAAAATCAACAAAGGGGAGAAATCCAATCACTTCAGTCCTTTACTAAATTAGTTTTATTTATAGTTAAAGATCTCAAATCTTGTAAGTTATTTCAAGTGAAAATTTTTACCCAGAATAGACATGGATGTTCTGAGAAAACATTAAATTATACATTCATCAAGTACTGTATATGTTTTGCCCAAACAATTCTAAAATTATATATTCTGTTGCCTACTGAAAGCATCCATTTGGACATCTTGTACACATTTTAAAAAGTCTTGAACACATCTTAAATTCAGTATATCTCAGATGTGGTGGTACATGCCTATAATCTCAGCACTTTAGGAGGCTGAGGCAGGAGGATCCCAAGTTCAATCCCAGCCTGAAACCAAGTTTCAAAAAATTAAAAGAGGACTGGGGATGTAGCTCTGTAAAGGCCTTGGGTTTGATCTCTGGTACTGAGCATGCACATAAACAAAATTTACCTCATTCTGCTCTTCCACTTCCTTTCGTTTTTGTCCCTCCTACCTGCACAAATAAAAGGTCCTCCTGGATCCTGGGTTTTTGTTATGGAATAGCCTTAATATCAGTGACTGTCAAGCTGCAAACCTCTGAACCACCGTTGAATCATCTATTCAGTCCTTTTGCTGCCATCTGTAAATTTCATCCTTCTCTTTCTTTTCTCTCATTAACTACAGTATTCTAGCTTCCAGCCTGGTCTCTGGCCCTGGTCTTGCATCTCTACAACCCACTGTGCACATGCTGTCTCACAATACTTTGTAAGGTCATGGCTTCCTTGAAGGCCTCAGGAGAGAGTTGAAAAAGTATTGTGTCTTAGTTCCTTTTCGTTGCTATAACGATAACTAAGATCAGATTTTTTTTTTTTTTAGGTACCGGGGCTTGCGCTTGTGCAGCAGGCAACGAAACCACTGAGCTAAATCCCTGGCCCCTAGATCAGATATTTTTAAGGAAAAATTTATTTTTTTAAAAGTTCTTGAGGCTGAGATCAAGGACATGGTGCTGGCATCTAGTGACAGACTTCCTGCTACAGTGTCATAAGGCAGAGTGCATATGTTAGCTCAGGTCTTGTCTTCCTCTTCTAAGCTCTTGATACCATCATGGTGGATTAACCCTCATGACCTCATCTAGTCCTTATTACTTACTCCCCAAAATCCCCATCTCCGAGTACCGTTAACTATGAATTTGAGAATTAAGTTTTAAGCACATGAACATTTGGGTTACATTCACACTACTGCATGTGGTTTGCAATCTCTTGATACCTTGCCACCAGCCAGAATAAGCTTGTGGCAGTGTGTGGAATCATTACACTTCTGCAGATGATTTGAACACCACAAAATTCACCCAGTTAATCATTTCCTTAATCATCAGGTCTCAGCTCAACAGAGTTGCTCTGAGAAGTCTTTGTAGCCTTTCTGTTACAGGCTTTTGCCAGACACTCATCAGAGCTGTTCTTACCCTACTTAGAATTGTTTGGTACAGTCATTGCTTATTTGTTTTCAGACTTCTCGTTCACATTCTCAGTACCTAGCACAAAGCCTGGCAAGTACTTGGCATTTAGTTCTTACTGAATAAAGCGAAAGTATGGAATCTTTAGACGTAAGTTGCATAAGGAAATAATTTAGTAATCTAGAAGCATTTTTAGCCATAGCAGCCTAAAAATGAGTAGTTTCCAAATAATCTCCACAGTTTTCTTCTTTTTGCTACACAAAATTGGTTTATACATGTTATTTAAATTGGTTTATCTTGTAACGAGATAAAACCTTAGCTAAAATGTGTTTGATTTTAAGGTTGTTTGCTTATTTTTCTATTGTATGGTTTCTACATTTTACATAATAGCTGTGTATGTAAGGACTACCTATAAAGTGCAAAATTAAGGTATTTTCATGTAATGTGTAAAATGCACATTTTCTTAGAATTTACAGTGTCCCTTCGGTATTTTCCACTTTTATCTGAAAAATAATTGAGAATAATGTGAGGTATAGTGTGGTTTCTTCATTGTAAGTTCCTTTTTCAAAATTACAAAAGTACTTACATCTGAAAACAGGTCTGGGGATTTAGCTCAGCGGTGCTGCCTCCTGCTTCCCAAACGCAAGGTCCTGAGTTCAATCCCTGGTACCAAAAAAAAAAAATCAAACAAACTTATTTCTGAAAACAGACTAAGAACAAAAAATAAAATACCCGTAGTTGACCCAGAGGGAACCCTATATTCTTCCAGATTTTCTTCCATGTGTATTTATACTTTTAATCCAAATGAATTTATGCTCTATATAATGATACTTGGTATGTTATTTTCTACTTTCCCTGCACTGGAGGAGCTTCAGGGTAACTGAAAAGCTTTTTTGCTTATCCAAACTATATGTTCTGAGCAGATACTGTTAAATTTCTTTGGAGAAATTGGAAGATGCCAAAAAAAGAATTTTAAGAGTTGCATTGGGGTTTTTTTGTTGTTTTTTTGTTTGAGTTGCATTGTTAATATAGGACTTGTTTTCCTTAATCATTGCTAATTATTAACCTTTTTTATGTTAGGAACAGGGCTTGCAAGGAAAAATAATGTGATTCTTTTTTTCTTTTTTCTTTTCTTTTCTCTTTTGAGGTGGGATCTTGCTATGTGGTCCAGGCTGGCCTTGAACTCACTGTGTAGCCCAGGATGGCTTTAAACTTGTGGCCATCTTTCTGCCTTAGCCTCCCAGTGCTGAGATTACAGACGTGCATCACGATGCCTGGCTAATAATGTGATTTCTGTAGTTTGGGGGGAAAAAAGGTTTGTTTAAATAATCCTAAATATTTGGGACCAAAATTTGAACTTAAATTATTGTATATTTTCTCAAGTAATGAAACTTTTTTTTGGTACCGGGGATTGCACTTTTGAGGCAGGTGGCGGAACCACTGAGCTAAACCCCTGGCCCCAGTTTTCTTACTAAGTAGTAGCTCAGTCTTTATAAAACTGGCACAACATTAAGCAATGCTACGAGTATTTAATCAATATAGAATTAAGAGTTAACTGTAAGATTCAGCCCTTTCAAAAGAAATAAATTCCTGATATCCTCTCTTAAAATATTTTCTACAAAGTTTATTTAATAAGGTGTTTTTACCTGAGTGATTTTCTCTCAACCTAAATATTATTCATTAGATTCTGTGTTCTTCATTAAAAAGTAATTGTTGCATTCTGTTGTTAAGGACATTGAAATTGTGCTAGAAATGAATAAAAATTAATGGTAAGACGTAGGAACCGAGGTAGGTAAATATATATGTGTACAAACACATATGTGTATGTGTGTGCATATATATATATATGTATATATGAATATTATCCTGTGCCTTCATAATTACTACAATCAACCATAAAGAAACTGGTTTATACCCACCCCCAATACTGGGAATTCAACCCAGAGTCTTGTACATCTAGGCAAGCCCTTTACCATTGAACTACATCCCCATCCCTTTTTAAAGTTTTATTTTGAGACAGATTGTCACTAAGTTTCCCAGGCTGGCCTTGAATTTGTGATCTTTGACTCAGTCTCCTGAGTAGCTGGGATGGAAGGTGTATACCATCAGACCCAGTGGGAAATCATTTACTTGAGCACTGAATGAGAAATTCTGATAAGGAGGTTAGAAAAAGATTATCACAATATATCTTTGCTTGTATGTGGATTAAGGAGCTGGGTTGGTTTTTACAAATAAGTATACTGTTAACTCATTCTCAAATAGCATATTAATGTTTTTACACTACTACCTAGGTGGAATTCCTCAGCCTTTATCAGCTCTTAAAAATCATCCTTTGTGTTAGCTTACTTTTACAAAGAAGCATTTTGAATGTTCCTTTTAAAGAAGTGGTAAT